TTTTGTGAGTGCTAAGTGCAGTGTTTGGAGGTGTGTGTGTGAAGTACATGCAGATAAAGGAGCCCAGTTGCTCAGTGCCTTGTAACAAGAGACAGATGTGCATAAACCAAAACCAGGTAAGAGCCCAGGGTCATGAAGTGTCTCCTGTGCTTGCCTGGCTTGCTAGAACTCCCAAAGTAAAGTAGAATGTCCCCTGATGCCACTCTGTGCCCAAGACCAATCTTCCCGTCTTCAGCTACCAAGCATCCTTGAGGATAAGCCCCCAAGTGTAGCCCCAATAGAATTAGAAACACCGGTTCATACTCCCCTCTCCACTACACCTCTTCCCCTCTCTCTTTCACCCCAAACCACTGTGTGCAGATCCCCATTGCTAGCGCCTCTGAGATGTTTCCTGCACTGAGGTTGAACATGGTCTCCTAAGATGCTCTAAAAAGTAAACAAAAATGGAGAAAAGACAAAAACAAGTGGGTTCAAAGCTCTTCTGATTTAAATCACTGAGCAGGTTAAAAGTACATAGTGGGTGTGATTTTCTGTTTGGGTTTTACCTCTAGAATCATTTCACTTGGAGATAAACGTTTTCCTGTGATGGAGAAGACATCTGAGAGGCGAATCAGTAGAAATCTGGAGTTACCTTAGCTGCAGGGACCTAAGTTTCCTGAGTGTATTGATAAATCTTTCTGCCATCCACCCGAGCCCCATAGCCACGTGGGCGCCGGAAATAACACACAGAATCTTATATTAATTACAATGCTGCTGGCCAATGACTAGGATTTCTTATCTGCTATCTCTGTCTTAAGTATTAACCATAATTATTAATCTATATATTTTTATAAAGACTTATCGAGGACACCGGCCTTAGCGTCCAATCTTCCTGGTGATCACATTACAATTCTCCTTCTACGACATTTCCCAGAATCCTCCTCGACTCCTAGTCCCACCTATCTTGCTTTCCTATTGGCCAACAGTGCTTTATTCATCAACCAATAAGACAAACATATACACAGAAGGACCTCCCCCATCACCTGAGTAGTGTGGGATCAGGACCTACAAGTCACCATGTACACCACTCAGTTCCAGAGTTAATCTTTCCTAGTGCCACTCGTTAGTCCTTGAGGTCCACTGGGGTAGAACCCCAGACTGTTGTCCCTGCAGAGAAAAGAAATGTAAGCTGGGTGGCACCATCACTCAAAGCTGTAAACGGTAAGGTCCTGCAAGGAGTGGCATTAGCATTCACTTTATCCTATGAGGGTGGGAGCACCAGGAAGTATTATACCCTTCTTAATAAAGGAGTACCTGGACAGAGACCCGAGGGGTAGAGAATAAAAGGAAGAGAAACCAGGAAGAATAGGCTTTGCATAGAGTAGGGTATGGGGGAATTTGGGATTCCCTCGCTTGCCAGCTTTCAGGCCTTGGATGGAGCAAAGAGTTTCACAGGACCATCTGAGTGTCAATTGACTATAAACAGGACATAAAGTTAAAAAATACACAATGTCGCCACACTATTAAGATTATAATAGCTGGGCAGTAGTGGTGGTGCACACCTTTAATCCCAGCACGTGAGAGGCAGAGACAAGAGGATCTCTGTGAGTTTGAGGCCAGCCTGGTCTACAGAGTGAGTTCCAGGACAGCCAGGGATACACAGAGAAACCCTGTCCTGGAAAACCAAACACAAAACAAAACAGATTATAATAAACATAACCCATTTCTGCCACAAAAACCTAGAGATTTAATTCTAAACCTGTTTACCAATGAGATGGAGGTATTTGGCATGGTCTTGGTCTGATTTTGTAGATCTTATGAAGCAAAAGAGACATCACCAGAATTGTCAGGAATATACAGATAGCATTTGTTTAAATGAAGTTAAGAGAGTTGATCCTGATTTCAAGCCTCAGCACCATTTTGTAGTGCTTCCATCATACCTGGGCCCCACCTGCCTGAACCCTTGGGGTCAGGTACACAGCTCTTAGCAGCCTCTGTGCCCAGGTGGGTAGGTCTGGAAGATTTACAGGATGAGAGAGATAAAAGGAGTGTAGAGAAGACTGGGATATGCAAGTAAATGGATGCTGGCAGAGTGGTTTGCAGGTCACGGGGGACTCTGTGGATGGGCGTGCCTCTGGCCTGCTTTTCTTGCCTCCATTATTTGGCTGTCAATGCCGCCTTCACATACCCTGCAGCCCCATAGAAAGGCAGGCTCACTAGGAAGCAGGGGCTGGCTGTGCCATCATTACCCTCACTTGGGCTCTGGACCCTCATACTGGGCTCTGCCATCACAGCCCTCCAGCCCTTACAGATCAGGCAGGTTTGTGGGCACACCAGAGATCTGGGCACCGAGCCTCAAGTCCCGAGGCAGAACAGAAGATGAAGCCTGGGGACAGTGCTTCAAAGGGAATCGTGGACAACTGGGAGCTGAATCTTTCGAGGAGCCTCCTTGGAATTCCTTCCTGGTTACCACATCTTACAGGGGAAACTAGTGTTCCCTGTGCGGGTTTAAGTCTCATTAATGAAAGAGTTTAAGAACAGATTGAGAAGGAAGCTCAAGGGTACCTTTATTAGCACTTAAGAGAAAAACAGTACAAGTGAAAAATCCCAGCAGCCTCCAAGAGGGAAGATGGAGAAAAAGTCAACAACTTCTAAGTTAGACATGGAATAGAAATAGATTATTTAAAGGGGGGGTTAAAAGTCCATCAGGAATGGGAGTGGGCAGTGAGCTGAGGAAAAGTCCATAGAGCACCCAGGCAAGCTGTGTGTTCTTTCATGAACGAGCACGCCCCCACCACCACTTTGGTATTTCTCTGGCTATTTGGAGAATGCTGTTGTCAGATGAAAGGCACAAATCTTCCTCCTGGCTCCTTTCACACGTTTGTCTTGAGGTAGCTCCTCTCCGGTCCTGTGTTCAGTGCTCACATGCTTTCACTTTACATGGCTGCTGAAACTTTCTCTACCTTTCTGCTCCTGAGCTCCTAAGCACCTCAATCCCTGTTTTACCACTTCATACAGCCTTCATTCCCTCCGCCTACCTCCTTGCAAAGAAAGCTGGGACCAAACGAGCTCTTGAGCCTGGGGGGGGGCAGGGGGATTCCAAGACCAGCTTTTCCCAGAACCCTAGTAATTAGGAACCCCCAGTTTATCCTCTTGAATAATACATGGGGCAGGCAGCAGGCTCTTCCCCACTAAGGTGTCTTCATCCAGCTATTAGGGCTCTTGTTGCCAGTGTTTCCTAACACACTATAGAAAACTAGTCGTGCACAGCCAAGAGTACCCAGTGTGGGAATTCAGATGACTCGACAAAAATATGTTCCATGGGTGTTCTGAGGGCATTGTGTCTATTGAGCAGAGAAATTCCCAGCATCTTTTAAATAGCAGCCCATTCACCAAAACATGAAAAATGCAGTTGGCACTCCCATCAAGGGAAGGAGCCCTGGCTGGTTCTGAGCAGTAAGGATTATAATGAAAAGCACCCAAGGTCATCCCTTCTGCCTTGAAGGAAGCTCTCTAATGCTCAACTTCTCTGCTGTTTTCCAGGAGACAGTGGTGAACCTAGCAGGACTCCTGGTCAGCCTTTTGATGCTTCCTCTGGTATCAGATTGCCCAAGGTAAGGCAGGAGTGAGGCTGGGACAAAGACGCCCAGTGCAGCTCTCCGTGTACATATTGGCTACCGTACTGTCTTCCCCAGCCTCAGCCTTGGATGCTTCATCCTCCTGACCGCTCTCCACATCTATGCCAACTACCGGGCAGTCCGAGCCCTTGTCCTGGAGACCTTGAATGAAAGCCGGCTCCAGCTGCTTTTAAAGCACTTCCTTCAGAGAGGAGAAGTACTTGCGCCTGCTTCAGCCAATCAGATGGAGCCATTGTGGACAGGTGACCCAACCCTTTGGTCTCACATCCCCCTGTCTCCCAGCCTTGCTCCTGTGCCTGACATTCTGACTACAGCTTCCTACAGGTTTCTGGCCATCCCTGTCTCTGTCCCTGGGTGTTCCTTTACACCACTTGGTCTCCAGGTGAGTGGCCCGGTGTCTCTTCCCTCACTGCTGCTTCATATACTTGTCCCATGGGCCCGTACTTTCAGTTACACACTGATTTTTGGTTAGGTTTTATTGTATATCCTGTTCTAGGTTTCTTGTTGTACAGGTCTTCTGATCAGCCTGAGTGCTTGAGGGAAGCAGTGAGCAGATTCGTTTTAACAGCAAACTGCCCTCTACATACCTCTGTGTACACCCATAGACAAAAGCAGCCCTCAGCCTCTCCTTATGAATGGTGGTGGCAAATGCAGACTCATGGCCACCCAAGGTACACAGAGTAAATGGAGGATGTAGACCCATCCTTACAAGGCACTTACACCCATCCCCTCTGAGGCCCATGGAACATTGTGGAATGGGGGCAGATGTGTGTAAGAGCTGGAAGATAAAGAGCTCTGAAATTCCATTTTCTACACTTGGTATGATCTGGTTTGCTTTTTTGCTATCATAAGCACCATGACCAAAAGCAACTTGGGGAGGAAAGAAACGAAAGGGTTTCTTTGAAGTAGACTTCCAGGAGACAAACAGTCATCAAGGGCAGGCAGGACAGAACTAAGACAGAAGCCATGCTGTTTGCTAGCTCACTCGCTGGCTCATGCTCAGCTAGCTTTTTTATGCAACCCTGGCCTGCCTGCATAAGGATGGTGTCACCCATAGTGGGCTGGTCCTTCCCAAATCCAGCATCAATCAAGACAGTATCTCACAGACATATCCAAAGACCAGCCTGGTCAAAGCAGTTCTTCAGTTGAGGCTCCTTCTTCCATGGTGACTCTAGGTTGTGTCAAGTTGCCAGTAGCCCCACACATTATAAACAATGAAGTCATTAACTCAACTGAAGTGACCTGCACTAAGCCCACATAAGGCTGGCCCTACCAGTCAGCCAAGGAAGAGGACCATTAGTGATTAATGGATTCTGTGAGAAGGGAAAAATCACAGTCTTTAGCCGTGTAGCCACTGCTGAGCCCACCAGGCTTCAACTGTAGTTCCAAGCCCCTGGTCATAAGGAAGGCTCAAAATAGACAACAAATACGAGCAAGAGATTTGTGGGGAGAAGGAAGATGGAGAGGGGTGGGAGGTAGATGGGGAGGGTTTAAGTCATCAGTATGCAGGATGTGCATATGCAAAGCTGTAACTAATAATTTCAATACAGGAGATGCGCACAGATAAGGGGGTGGTGCATCGGGAGGACGGGGGCTGCACACAGGAAGGAAGAAGGATATGCAAAGCTGTAACTAATAATTTCAATACAGGAGATGCACACAGATGAGGGGGTGGTGCATCGGGAGGACGGGGGCTGCACACAGGAAGGAAGAAGGCGTGGGAGTGGGGTAGAAGTCGGAGCTAGGAAAAAGTGGGCAGTGAGCCGAAGGCCAGTGGCAAACGGGCAGCCACAGCCAACAGTTTGACCAAGTGGGTCCTCCTGCCTTGCTTTCCCCTGCCCCAGTGCTCTCTTCTCTCCATCAGTGTCTTTGAGCTCGAGCAGCTGGTTGAAGGGCATCAAGAACCATACCTCCTTTGCTGGAACCAATCACAAAGTGAGTGTGCTACGTTCTCCCAGTTCACTTACTGCCTCTGACTCCAGGCCGTCAATCTCTGGACAGTTTGGAGTCTGCCTCGTGTCCTAGAGGATCCTCTAGACTAAAATTTTGATGCATTCAAATTAATAGCTTCATGCCTAGTGAATTCACTGTATCTGTAGCAGCAATTCTCAACCTGTAGGTTACAACCCCTTTGGGGTTCTAAAAACCCTTTCACAGGGATAGCCTGTGTGTCGGATATTTACATTATACTTCATAGGTAACAAAATTGCAGTTATGAAAATATTTTTCTGGTTGGGGAGGTCACCGCAACTTAAGGAACTCTATTAAAAGTCTGTAGCATTGGAAAGTTGAGAACCAGTGATCTATAACATGAAGCTACAGAAGTTGCCTTATTACTTGTGTCATTTTTCCAAGGATTGAATGGGGTATTTATGTAAAAAGGACTTTGTATATTGTAGCATATTCAAGTAAAGACTGTGGCCCATTGGCTTTTATGGAGATCACCTTGTCTCTTAGCCTGAGTCCTTTGGTAGGGAAGCAAGTTCTTAGGATTGCTGATAGCCTCTCCGAGCTACTGTGAAATTGTCCTTGGAAACTGAGCATATCAGTTTAGCTAAAGAAACAACTGAAATTGACGTTGGAAAGGGGAGAATGGGGACTTCCATACCTGGCAGTGGCCTCAGGCAGATGAGTGAATCAGAAAGATGGGTGGAAAGCATTTGAGAAATAGTTCTTTTCTGATCTTTGTCTGTCCTGTGGGTCTCTCCAGACCAGGTCCAGGTTGCTCTGAGCCAAGTGGCAGGCCCTGAGGCTGTCTTAAGGGCTGCCACTCATGGCCTGGTTCTTGGAGCCCTGCAGGAAGATGGACCACTTCCAAAAGAGCTAGCAGAGCTGAGGGAGCAGGCTCGGGCTGGTAAGAGCTTCATGGACCAGGGCTGACAGTAGCAACGGTGAGAAAGGGATGGACTATCTGTTTTGACGAGGGTATGAGAATTTCTGATTTTACACCCACCAGGTCCTAAGAAAGAAAGCTGGATTCTCGTCAGGGAGACACATCAAGTATTGGACACACTGTTCCCAAAGTTCTTGAAAGGTAACACCAGCTCCTGGCTTCTTCAGCCTTGCGCCCTGCCTGGGAGATAAAGGATTGATTTGTCTGTGGTCTTCAGTCTCAGTCTGTGCTCCTCAATGCAGGATTGCTGCACAGGATGGTCTCCGAAGCTCTAGCGATACTGATAGTCTATAAACCAAGTTGGTCCTAGAGCACTTACTTCATCCTGCCCCTTTTCCATGTGCCATGCCTGATCTCTAACTACACAAGTGAAATCTTAGCCTTGTTTTCTGCCATAGATAATCTCAACAAAAGAGCCCAAGCAGTGTGAAAGGCTGCACCAGCTTGTGTTTCTGCTCCCATAACCCATCCCCAGGTCCAGCCCAGAACCTTCTCCCTGGCCTCACCCTGTGACCTCTTTGTAGGACTGCAGGCTGCTGGCTGGAAGACTGAGAAGCACCATCTAGAAGTGGATGAGTGGAGGGCCACATGGCCCCTGTCTCCAGAAAAGAAGGTCTCATAAGCAGCCCAGCTAGAGGCCCAGAGCCCAGGACAGGAGCCTGGAGCAAGGACACTACAGCTACAACAGGATGTTAGAAGGGCAACTTTATTTTTGCATAGGCAAACTGCTATGACCAATTGGCCACCACCTTGTGGGAAGTGGCAACCAATCAAATGGACTGGACTCCAGGCGAAGAGGAAGGGAACCAGTTCCTTCCTACCACACCTTCTTGCCCCTTTTACTTTTCTGGGACCCACTACAAGGTCCCCATCCTCACTCTCTGTGAGGCTCAGGCACACCCCTGTTGCAGCTCATGGTACTGAACACATTTGACTTTATGCATAAAAGCCCCAGAGGAACACAGCCACAGTCATCATGAGCAGGGCGTTGAGGTTGACGACACGGGCCCAGCGAGGGTCCTCACTGATGTCCTCCAGCTGCCTAGTTGTTGCAGCCACCTCCTCACTAGTAGGTGGAGGACTTCCTGGCCCACTCTTGCTCATTCCACAGAACCAGAGAAGGCACCTGCTGAGCAGGCTTGGCGCTGGGGACTGGACATCTGGAAGAAATGGTAATTATACAGTTAGTTTGAAGGGAGTTAGCTCCCCTAGCTTCCCAGGACACTCGCTGAAGCGTGCCTTACCTTCGATCACCACCGCATGATCCTGGTACCCATTCTGTACAGGGGACAGGGTCGGGCTTTCTAACTCATCAGCATCTAGGTCTTCCCGTTCCTCCTTGCTGTGCCGGAGACTGAAAACCAGGCGGTGGAGCTGGGAAGTTAGGGAGAAGGGACCAGGTGGGAGCTTTGCTCTCCACCCCAGGTCCACTGGCATACCAATTTTGTCATTGCCTCCCTAGCCCCTGTCCTGGCCTGCACACTTGCCGAGGCTCAGCTCACTCAAGACTCCTCTTTCCAGGATAGCCTTTGCCTTCACACTGAACCCCAAACTCTTCATCTGAGTATTAAAGTCATTGGCCCTGCCCAGTCCCATCCTGTTTCACCCCAAATGTTATGCCTATGCCCAGAATTGTAGTTCTTCAGACTGGTCTTAAAGCTCTGATCACAGTGTGTTCCTATTGTCATTTGCTCCGCTCCCCCAAAATGTCACTTAGGTAAATGTGCTTGCCCTGGAAATGAAACTTCATACTGAACTCCCAGCCTTCTCCTACCAACCCTTGGTATGAAATTTTTTCAGTCTCTCTCTGTGGGCATCCTTGAAGCAAACTGGCTAAAGGGGAGAAAATGGTTCTTCCGTCCCATATGGTTCATGTGTGTTCTCCCCGTTTCCCCAGAGGCCAGCACTTACATGCTTCTGTGGGATGGGTGCACTGCACAGGGAGACTACAAGTGTGAGGAGGCCAGAGCAGATGAAGAGCACGATGGCAAAATAGAGGTAGTGTACCCGGCAGAGGAGCGCTGGGCATGCTGAGGGTCGCACACAGCTGCCCGAGCCAAAGAAGAACTCAGGTATGAGCCGTGCTAGGCCCATCAGCAGGCCCCCAACTAGTCCCCAGAAAGCACCCTGCAGGAGAAACAAGTATTAGCCCACTCAAGATGCCCAAGCCTCACCCAGAGTTCACCTGCACACGCCCCGCTCACCTTCTCATTCACACGGGGCACGAAGAGTGCAAGTACAAAGACGGCCGACACGGGAGGCGCCAAGTAGCTGGAGATAGACTGGATGTAGTCGAAGAGCTGCCCACCCTGCGCCGCCTGCACCACAGGGAGCCAAGCCACTGACACGGCCACAATGAATACCACCCAAAGCCTGCAATAGAAGACAATCAGATTCTACGGAGAACCCTCCTTCCCCATTACCCTTCTGGTATCCCATGCCCACACCGCAGGCTCATTTATGGAGCAGGAGATGGAAGCCAGGCCATACCTCCCAACTATCAGCAGCTCCCTGTCACCCGCACGAGGCCGCAGGCGTGTGTAGATGTCCATAGTGAAAAGTGTGCTACTGCTGTTAAAGATTGATGCTAGGGAAGACATGAGGGCAGCCAGCATGACTGCTAGCATGAGTCCACGCAAACCTGTGGCCAACAAAGGCTGTCAGGCCAGGGCCATTAGTGTGTTCAAGGTGGAGAAAGACTGGCAAGAGGTGGCCCTCCCATAGGCAGTCCCTGCAGGCTTGGCCAAAGGCAAACCCACTTCCAGCTCTCTCTCACCATTGGGCATGAGCCTCACAACAAGCTGTGGGTAGGCGATATTAGAGCAGCCCACCTCAGTGCCGCACACCCGCTTACACACTTCGGGCACCACACACGCGACTTCATCTGCAGGAAACAAGACGTAGGGGGCTAGGAAGGACTGTAATCTGGAAATGAAGATCACTGAAGCCTAATGTGGGCTGGGGATCCTAGAGGTGTGGTGCTCCTGGTGGGAAGCAGGACTGACATTCCAGGTTCCCAAGTCTAAGGATGCTATAAGAGACAGGCACTTTGATCGTTGTGCAAGAAGGTAGGGGTGCTGGATGGGGCACAGCACCATTGAGCCTGGTGTGATGCAGGCATTACCTGGGTAAAGGATGCGGCTGATCATGCCTGGCATGACCATGAGGAACATGGGCATCAGCTTCAGGTAGCCACACAAGATGCAGCCAGCTTTGATGTGAGTCAGATTCTTCCCAGCCAGGCAGCGCTGCACTATTACCTGTGATGGGGGCGTCCAACTATATAGGTCATCCCTGTACCTCACCCCCCCACCCCCGACAGGCTTTGCCGTCCACTCTTCATGGCCCCTCAACACTAGCCTTCCCCCCTACTCTAAATCATACTCAACCTCTATGTCTACGGAGCCCCTACTGTATCTCCATCCTCAGATCCTGCCAGTGGATTCTGACTTCTAGGTCTACCCTGGCATGATTCCATCAGCTGAGGCCCTGCCTTCATCCTAACTCCAAAAAGGGTGGTGTCAGGCACACCTATCAACCAGCACAAGTCATTTAAAGATCCATCCCAGGTGTGCGCGCACACACACACCACCCCAAACCTTGACCTCACCTGGTCGCTGCACCAATACCAGCCTGAGACAATGGTAAGCCCCAGGAGCAGTGCAGGCCAGGGCAGGTCTCCTGTCACTGGGTCACGCAATAGGTGATAGGAGTCGGGCCTCGGTTGGTAGCAGGTGCTGGAGATGTTGCCAATAGCTGGGTCCTTGGACACCGTCAGCGAAGTTGCTGCTCCCAGGTATTTGTCGAAGAGACCCGAGTACCCGCCCACTTCATGGAAAGCTGTGCAGGCAAGGTTGTCAGGGGATCTCACTCAAGTGTTAAAGCCCTCCTCAGGACCCACATGGCAGAGACAAGCAAGGTTCCAGACCTTGGGTTAAAAGCTCTTTATCAACACAGATCCGTGCCCCGCCCACACCGGGCAAACCCCATACCGTAACCACTGAGGATGAAGGCCCCAGCAAGAATGACAAAGGTCTGCACAGTGTCTGTGTACATCAGTGCTGCCAGCCCTCCTGCAATGACCTGAAGTCAGTGAGGGGCAGCACAGCTGCTGGACCCTGGCACCCATGTTTTTTAAGGAGTACCCATTCTAGAGAACAAATTTCATAAAAAATGATGCTAGGCTTGTGCATTGGGGCACCAGGAAGCAGAGTTGAGTTTTAGAGTCCACTGATGCTTTCTTGGCCAGGAATCCATGCGGTACAAGATGCCCATAATATGCTCCTTAACCTTTTATTTTCAACTGGGTAATGGAGTGGGGACAATTCTTCTAACTCAGCCCTTGATTGCATCCTATCCTGCAGCAGGCTTCCAAGCCCACTTTGGCCCCATTCTACCCAATTCTGTGTGTGATCTGGGGTCCTGGGAACTGCACTGGATTTAGCCGAAGATCTTGGAGACTGACCAAGTCAACTTTTCAAGACATCCAAGAAGGGTAGACACTTCTAAATCATTTCCAAGCCAGCTCTGTCACCACCTCTAAGTTCCCCACCCACCACCGCCACCCCTGCACAGCCAGTCACCTGTCACAGTATAAATCATGGTGATGCCCAAGAGTGCAATGACGGAAGCGTAAATGTTCCAGCCCAGGGCCTGCTGTATGAATACCGCCCCGGAAAACATGTCCACCTTTCAGGAGAGAACAAATGCATAGATCAGAGGCAAAGGCAGTGACCCCAGTCCACCTCCTGCCTCCTAAACCATCCATCCAATGTGGCCACACCTCAAAAGTCCACTCATTTTTCAATGACCTAGTTTTCCCGGGTCCTAACCACTGTGCCCACAGCTTTTCAGACTTGCTCTTTTCAGTACCCCCTGCCCCCATGATTCCTGCATTTCTCCTTGGTCCGGCCTCCTCCAGAGCTCTCTGAAGACCTCATTGGGTGGTTCTACCTTTCTAGCTGTACTGCCCACCACACATGCGCACCGAGATCTTGGTGAAGATGTACAAAAAAAGTGAGAGCACCGACAGGTAGAGGCGGATACGGTGCCCCCCGAAGCGCTTGCGTAGGTACTGAGGCATTGTAATCACACCGGCGGTCAGATACACGGGCACGAAGAGCCAGCCGAGCAGCAGCACCACAAAGAGCGCCTGTGGGAACACGTGACAGCCCAGGGTGACTCGGTCTTAGCATCTTAAGCGGGCCTGTACTAATCCTCACATCCAGGACCCAGAGAACAACAGCAGAAGAGCCTGGGCCCTGAACGCGAGAGGAACAGAATCTTGACGTATTCCTGGCACCTTAGCTAGAGCCCATTTTGCACTTACAGTCTCCCCCAAAGAGGTCTTTCCGGCCCCTCCCTACCTCTCTAGCAAATGAAGCTGTGTGCACTGACTCTTCCAACTGACCTCAGCATCTGCCGGGCTCCTCCCCTCCAACACCCACCCAAGAATTTTATCCTCAAAGGCTCAGTTCAGAGGTCTCCTCCAGGAAGGCTCAAACTCTCCAGCTCCAACCCTGCGAGGTGAGCTCAGTCCCAGGACTCCTTGGTCTCCTTGTTTTTGAAAAAGACTTCAATTCAGCTAGAGATGCCCAGAGACCACAGCATCAAAGAACATGGGGACAGGTACTTCTGTATCTATGAGCTGCCTGCCCTGCTTCAGAGTGGAGTACATAGGTCAAGGCCCCCTGAGGACCGATGCTGGCATATACAGGAAGTCAGGAGCAGGACCTACCTGTACCCTACTCCCAGTAAACTAGCATGTGATCCTTGCTCCCAGCCCAGCCTCACCCCACAACTGGGCTGTTCCAACTTGTTCAGATCCCCACACCGGGAGCCTCCCCACGGTCTTTTCGGGAGTTTCCACTGGGGTGGGTTACTATAGGAAAAAAAAAAAAGACCTCACATTCCACTCAAATCCAGCCACAGCCAAGCCGCTTGCAGCACCAGTCCCTGCCAGGCCCACAAAATGACCGCTGCCAATGTTGCTGGCGAACAGAGAGGCTCCAACCTGGGTGGCCAGAAATGAGGGTGAGCTAGGCTGCTCCTTTAGGGTCCCTCCCATCCCATGGCCCAGCCCAGCTCACCGGCCACCACACCATGTTTCGTCCTGCCAGGAAGTAGCCACCAACTGTGCCTCTGTTGGTTCTGAACATAGACTGGGAAACAGAAGTGGGGGGGAACTGGGATTGGGGCACATCTTTGGACCTCATTAGCTTCCTCAACACATTCCTCAGCCTTGTTTTCGGGCTGAAGATTAACCAGTACTAGACTCCCCCCGATTGTTTGTCCCCTACCCCCAACCTCCTCTCAGACTCTCAGAACACCCCAGCCCTAATCCTAGTGCAACCGCTGGAGCCTAAATATGGCTGGATTCAGCCTGACTTACCTGGTGGCTTCAGATATGGGCTGCAGCCACAATGCAGACAGGGAAACAGAGACCTCATTTAGAATGCTTAGCTTAATGAAAACCCACTGATACCCCCACCCTCTTTTGCACAGTCCAGAACCCAAGAGACAAAGAGTTAAAGATTTGCTTACCTACTGGACCTACGATTCTCCCTCAAATATCCAAATACCCTTCTCCCACCTCTCTCTGAGGTCTCCCTAAATCTTTACCCTCAAGCCCCAGAAGCGATTCCCTATCAAAACCCCCTCAACTTCTCACCCACAAGCCAACGCCAATGACCAGCAAGAAATACGCAGCAATGACCAGAATGTCAGCAGGGTTGTCAATTAGGACCCTCTGCTCCCCAAATT